ATGCGAGGTCATCTTTGTAACAACTCTCAGTGAAAAGCTATCTCCTGCAACTTTGAAAGCATATATCTTTAATTATCCATGGTTTTGAGAAAGCACAGTCGTAAAAGACACCCATGTATGGCAGAAAGTATCTCCTTACTGACGAGTTTCCAAGTTTCAGCTCCAGTTGCTGGGGCTGATATTAAAAGATCAGGTCAAGCGACAGTATTTTGAAACCAGCTCCCTCTGCACACTCCTCCCCAAAGACCTATTTTTTTTTCTCTCTGATAAGCCATAGCTGTGTAACTCCATTAAATCTGCCACGAAAAAGGAAGAAACAAACTCCAAGCCTGTCTGGACCAGCAGTACCAACATCTGCACCAACACCTGTAACTGCAGAATTCCTATAGATTGGAAAACAACATGGAAAGCACTCTGGTCATTGATAAATCTCCTCGGGAAATGACCTCCAAGGGACAGCTCTGTCTCTGGTGGTAGATTAGGTGCTTTAGGAACAGAAGCTACAAGGCAAACGAGATGGGCTGGGATGGAAGAAGTCGTGTGAAGGTTCAGGTCTCATAAGCTAGGAGGGCTCCATCCCCAGCAGTGGGCCCCAGCTGCTGAGGGTCCCTCTGAGAGAGGTTGATTTATTCAGCTCAAAGAAACCTGCACTCCTACCTTACCTTATATCTGGCAGCTGCCCATCAATACCTCAGCTCTGCACAGGAGCCTGAGCTGCTCTGTGGTGCCTGGAGGTTTGTTCCATACCTGTGTCAGCAGAAGAGAAACATTGCTTTGCTAACTCAGAGCAAAAGCAGGCACTGGTGCTGAGAAGCCCAGCAGCAGCTGTTATCTATTAGCACTGGCAGTTTGAAACCATCGTGCCCTGAGCTGCTGCTCCATGCTGCAGCGGGGGCGATGCTCTTCCACAGTCCTCCATTTGGTCGTGTCATGCAAAGAGCTGATTCTGAAAAACAGCAATAAAAGGAGATCGGGAATAAAAATCTAATGCATTAGAACTGCGGTCATTTGGCTTTCTCTTATTAGATCTGTCATTAAAGAAGTCAGACCGCTGGCACAGACACAGTTTTCATGCTTTCCAGTTTCCAGTCAGAGTGAATATATATATATATATTTTTTTTTCCTTGGGGCTGTGAGTTGCTCTTGAGGAAAAAAATGGTTTAATCAGTTTTCTAGATATTGGTTCTTGGATACATTTATCTTATGCTCTACAAATGACAGAAATACAGTTTCAGGAACTCTAAAGCTTCTAAGTTGATTAGACGCTACACCAATAATAATAGTAAGAGTAATAACAATAAATGATTAAAAATCAGTAAAAAAAAAAAAAAATATTGAAAAAAAGTTAAAAAAAAAAAAAAAGGGAAAAAAAGAGCAATGTATATGCCAGGACTAAATGTACTGTTAACACTTTCCTACATAATACATTTGTGCCTAAGCTATCTTTTATACAGATCAATTAATAGAACAGAAGCTTCTTATGGTGGAACTGCAAACTGAAATTCAAGTGATGCAATAATTTTTGCTGGCTATTATTACTTAAAAACTAACAACCCCAAAAAAGCTGCCCATGGATGGATCAGGAAATCTTCCAGAAGCATAAAAGTAGCTCAGCAAGGTGTGTTTTAATGACCAACACCAGATGGTTCATAAGCCAGGATCGCTGTGAATGTACTGTTTTTACTCACTCCATGTATGCATCCTAAATGCAGTTGCAATCTAGAACTGATCACAAAAACAGAGAAAGGAGAAAAACTCAGCCAACGTAAATCTCAGGAAGGAATAATACTTATTTTGGCTTTTTCTGTTTATTTTTGGTTTGAACAGGTTCCTCATCAAAATAAGCTAACTAAGATGATTCTTTAATCGTGGCAATGTGATTTGGTTGGAGACGTTGCATAGGCCGGGTGTGGGAGCCCTGAGAAGCACAGATAGCAGCTAAGCCATTTCCACAAGTGAATGGCAAAGACGCTCATGCAGGGTAAAAAAAAAAGGCTGAGGTTGAGAAAACCTTTCCCCCATAGAAAAGCCTGACTGAAAACAAAAAAGCAGCTTGCTTCTAAGGCAAGCCTGATAGAGTTCAGTGCTGCAGTGTGCAGCAGGGCTGAGCTGTGGCAGAACATCAGCGAACTATAGCGCTTTGGGAAGATCTGAAAGCCAGTCAGCTCAGAACTATCTGTGAATCCATTCCACGATGATGGGTTTTGTGCCTTTCTTTTTTCTTTTTTCTTTCTTTCTTTCTTTCTTTTTTTTTTTTTTCTTTTTTTTCTTTTTTTTTTTTTTTCCCTCTGGCTTATTGTACTTTTTGAGCTTGGTATCAAGTGCAAGTTTATTTTGGTTGGCTGATTTCTTCTGGCAAATGAAACATTGGGCAAGTTTTCATCATTCTCCCTCTGGAGTTTGCTGACGTAAGGAACAGTCAGCACTGGCCTCTTCTGCTGAGGTCTGGAGTAGAAGTGCGTCTCCCTTTCGGAGCTGAGGTGTTCAAGAATCCACATTGAGGTAAATAGATCAGAAGCTGCTCATGTGAAAGGCTCCGGGCTATAGAAAATGAACGCTTAAACTGAGACGGGAGGTTTGGGTTAGATATTAGGAGGAAGGTTTTCACACACAGGGTGGTGACGCACTGGAACAGGTTGCCCAAGGAGGCTGTGGATGCCCCATCCCTGGAGGCATTCAAGGCCAGGCTGGATGTGGCTCTGGGCAGCCTGGTCTGTTGGTTGGCAGCTGTGCCCATGGAAGAGGGGTTGAAACTAGATGATCGTTGTGGTCCTTTTCAACCAGGCCATTCTATGAGTCTATAATTCATTTTGCTGCTTGTACAACATGCTTGTCTTTGAAATTCTAATCACTCCTACATTTGTTGTGTCCTGTTACCAACCAACAGACAATATGGCTGCACAGCTCTTCTCTCACCAACCACGAGACCAAAATTAGGCATTTAATTTCCTGCTGGCTACATTTGCCTAAACAGACATTGCAAGAGCAGTCAACAGACACAGGGATATCTAGCAAATCATGTCAATGTAAGTGGAAATTATCTCAACTGATAGATTGAAACATTTTAGTTAAAACAAAAGTATATTAGACTTTTTACAGTCAAGTCTGTTACACGTGTGACTAATAAAGATCAACATGTTGATCCAAGAATTTACAATTTAAATAGTTGAGATTCATCTTAAGAAGATTTATGAGAAAACCAATTTGGAATGTTACATTGTATAAATTAATAGTGACAGATTTCTATGTGTAGTACACTTAGGAAATGACTGCAAAATAAACTAGGAGGTCGTAATACTCAAAGTTAAGCAATATAATTCAAACAAATGGTTCTGTTACTTACTGGGAACCGTATGTTCACATGTCACAACTTATTTAAGTATTTCTATTTTGGTCTACAGGCCTTGGCAACAGATTTCTTAATAAAGGGGCTCATAAGGTCAAGGGTGAAGAGTGATACCGTGTTGCCAGTGCTCTGCAGTCTTTAGGTAAATAGTTTCAATTTTAAGCAGTCGGATTTGCAAAGGAACCTGATCATTAATTCTGGTATCAAACATATTTTTTTCTGAGGTAAGACACTGTTAAGAATGTGCGTGTCAGAACAGCAAGCAAGTAAAAGACCCAAATTAATTATATTTCCCAGTTTGTATCTAAAACAAGCTCTGCATTACTTGGATATTTGAAAACAAGATCTCATCTTTTTGAATTGCAGCTGCTCGGTATTTCTGAAAATAAAGTCAGTTTAATTCTCCCTAATATAATCTTAACTCGGAGTTTTCCCATTATTGTGGGAAACTTTTGTTATACGTTTATGATGTGTAAAATGGGTAATGTATAACGTATTTACAGAGCATCTTTGCTAATCTGGGACTGAACAGCCTGTCACCCAGACGCTGCTGAACCTCTGAAGAAAAAAACCTGGATAGCCCTCAAGTTTAAAGGAAAGGTGCATTGCAATTCCATTCCAGGTCCAAGAAGCAACGCAATAGAACGGCAATATTTATAAATCATCGTACTTTGGTGGTTCCATAATATTCATTTGAAATCATTATCTTCACTGCACGTTTTCCATTGTTTGACAGTACTCTGGGGAGCATGGAGTTTGGAAGGCATGTGTTATGAGCTGCCATTAACTTACCAGATAACACATTATTCTCTGCAACGATGATACATTATTGTGATGGATCGTGTAAATATTTAAAGAAAGTTGTGCCTTCATAGCTAAACACGCATCACAACATAATTTATATCCAAATCTTTACACCTATTGAAAACAAATATACAGATTGAAGAGAATTTTAATTGTTAGGACACTTGTATACATTTTTCAAACATCCCCGAAGTATTTAGTGATATGTGATTTTCAATAGTGTATGCATGATGTATGTGCTGCCTTAATTCATCTGACTCAGAGTCAGTAGCTGTTCACAGTTTCAGCCTGGATGTGAGGCATTTAAAGGCACCTCAGCATATTTACTGAGTTTCAATTATTTTTTGAAAATATAATTTAGAACTTTACAATGGGAGGTGTGTGTCTGCCCAAGGAGGTTGTGGATGCCCCAGCCCTGGAGGAATTCAAGGCTGGATGTGGCTCTGGGCAGCCACTGTGGCGGTTGGTGACCCTGCACATAGCAGGGGGGTGAAACTAGATGATCCCTGTGGTCCTTGTCAACCCAGGCCGTTCTATGATTCATAAAAACACAGCAGCATGGGACTGCAGCTGTCCAAGTGGGACCCTATGGAATCCATTCTCTGGCAGCACAGCTCCTGCTGACTACACCAAAGCTAGCTCCAGCACACGCTCAGTGCACATACAGCACAAACAGTTACCTGCACCTTAACGGGATCAAATCCACTTAGGCACTGGGAAGCATCTTTCCACTTCCTCCCAGTGAGTAATGACTCACTCAACATTTAGGTCCAAAGGTTCTTCAACAAATAAATGGAAGCATGATGACTTTTATCAAAGAACTTTATTAAAAGGAAACAAAAATCATCATTTTCAGAAATAATAAAAATATAAAAACATTTTTATAAATACGAAGTTAGCATTCTCTTAGAAATTTTATTCACAGCTTAGCTGTTGAGGCCAAAGTGGGCTTGTTTCCTTACAGCCATATGGAAGCTCTTGAGTTAGCTCACAGCTGAAAAATGTAGTTTTCCATAGGACATACTGTATGCTGAGTGATTGAATCTAGAAGAAATAAAAAGGCAGGATTGTTTGAGATCAAGTGCACAAGAAACAGATTGTAAAGCAGTAATGTATTTCAGAGCAATTTCTGATCTAAAACAGACAGAGAAAGACGAAAAAGTAAATGCAGTCAGATGATAATAGTGCAAACACAATTTGCTTAAGTTTAACAAAGGTGCAGCATTATTTACCTATTGGCTTTTTGTTGTGGTCACCTTTGAGTGAATCTATTGGCAGTTGGTGCTTGCAGCACAAAACCACAAACGTACTGGATCGTAACACTGAGGTGTCAGAGATAAGACAAAACTTCAGATTTGGCTTGATTTATTTGATTAAGATGACAATTTGTAGGGACAGGCTGTCATTGCTTTTATTATTCTATGATTATGTTACTGAGAAAGGGGCTAGGTTTCAAGGACCTGTACCTGGTAAGGTATTATATAGAAACACTTATGTTTTACAAGTTCAGCAGATTGATCGTGTCAAATCCGTCTGCGTGGGCAGAATACAGCAATTATACAGAGCACATGTCAGAATGCAACAGAATCTGAGAAATCTGTGAAAGGCACAAAGAATTCAGTCCTTTATCTGATGTGTGAGACTCCCTGCATACACAGGGATACACAGTTTTTCAGCTCCCCCGATGGGCTCAGCTTGGCCCATCCAGCTCCATGCAGCTCATCGGCATATGTGCCTTTTAAAGTAATTCTGCACGGAGTTTTCCCATTTCTAGTTTGTTCTAAATGAAGCAGTCACATACAAGATAAATTTGAAAATCTTTGGATTAAATTGTTTCTTGGTAAAATTACAATGGTGTTTAGCAGGATCATCATAAAGTAGTGTTAGTTTTAACAGAAAGTCCTCGCCACGCAGACAGTCTTCCTGGGAGCCTGCTGGTAACAGTGCTTTCGCTTCCTTCTCTCCAAAACCTCTGTTTAGTAAACTCTTTACAGCCAATTTTTGAATACATATCCCCGAATGTTTTATATGTGTTGAAGTCTAGCGTATATGAAGGATAGTGCAGCCTGGTCTAGCATTAAATGGGGAGGTTGGTGGCCCTGCCTGTGGAGGGGGGCTGGAGATTCATGATCCTTGAGGTCCCTTCCAACCTGGGCCATTCTGCGATTCTGTGATTCCATCTTACCTAAAATCCATTTTTCTGATAAACATTTTATTTCCTGGTACTTCTTCCCTGGGTATTTTCCTATGCAGATTTTTGCCTGACGTAGGGCCTTACATATTTTTCCTCCTGACAGCTCTATAAGCTCCATCAGCTTTTTGCAGGGTGGCTGGCTGGTGGGAGATACAAACATCACAGGCTGGTTTGAGAACAGACTCAGCTGGTAGTTTCCTGCTGATAGGTGACGCTGCAGCCTGCAGATCTGTATTTGAGGAAACAAAGAAGTCAATAAAAACTGTGTTACTCAGAATAAAAACAATCCTTGTCTTAAATTCAAGAAATAAGAATTATGGTATATGAATATGAACTTTTCTGCCATATCAGAACCTTTTGCTTAAACTATGCAATGAGCTAAAATGACCATGTATGGTACACTTGATTGACATAATTCCAAAACCAGAGCTGAGACTCCTTACTTACAGCTCAGATGATTACCTGTAAGAGTTCTTAAAGGACTTGGCAAAATTACCTTTCACCAGAATCTTACATTTACAATGCTGGGCACCACACAGGCATATTGAAGTATATTCTAAATAATTATTGTCTTCCACCACACATACAAACCATGGGAGCCTTTATAACACTGTGCTGCTTTACTAACCTATACAATTCAGACATTACTCTATAATCTCTTTTCCCTTTCTGTGTTCCTGTATTAACTGTATTTTATCTCAGATAAATGAAGTGACGCAAACAAAACAGAACTCAAAGCAAATCACCAGTTTCATGTAAACACTTCTGTCTCTGCAATAGCAAAAAAGAAAGTCCTCTGTGAATGCAGTACAGCCACTGACACCATCCAATGAAAACCTCTATCTATTTGGAGTAAATTTTCTCACTTTTACCTATCAGATAGAACAATGGCTCAGCAGTTAAATGATTTCCTTTAGTGACATTGTGCAGGAAAGAAAAGCTGTGCACAGAACGAGTGTGCAACCCGTGGTAATCAATACAAAATCTTCATGCTAAAATAAATGAAAAATCAAGCTTGAAATACTGAAAGTGAGATTGCCATTGCCCTGCCAAATGAATGAATCTGACATTTATGAGTGTGCATCTCATGTCAATATTCTGAAAATTTACAATGATCCAGAAGTAAGATGAGAGCAAAAGTAAAGGTTTCAGGTCGTGTAATGCTTGGAATATTTTCATACAGATGATCAATGTGAGCATCTTACATAGCAATAAGGACACTGTGTATATATTTGGCTTACATTAGATGGCTGAATATGAAACTGTAGTCAGTGAAGAGGTGTAACTGGTAGCTGAAAGAATTACTTGTTGAGAGGATTCCTTTCTCCAGCCCTGGCACGAATGTGCTGTGAAACCACAGGCACTTGAGATTTTAATGCAGCAGTACATGTGCTTCACGGATGTGCAGCCAAATAAGAGTCTTCACGTGGTTAGCAAAGGCTTTAAAGCTGAATAGTTCCATGGAGTCTTCACTGAGCCTTAGAACAAGGTCAAGATGCATTGCTTTAGCACTTACGACCAACTATGCAGGTGAAGCATTAGAGAAGCATGAAGCCCACGCCAGCATACGAGTTTTCAGCTCACATTTCCATGCCACTGTCCTCTGTGCTGTTCTTGGACAGGTCAGTCCAAGTCTTAATTCTGAGCTCTCCTCCATCAGTACAGAATCCAGATTTTCTGTTATTATTAATTCCTTGGCTGCTCTCTTCAGAATAAAACTAAGCTGATTCTTTGCTTTCTGAATTCAGCAAGTTATAAAGACAGCAACTGCTATTGACAAACCAGGCAAAAAAGCCCAACCCTTGAGAACAATCAAAAAAATAGCCTTTATTTTCTTCTCTTTTGTGAACTTAGATTTATGAGTGATATGGCACATAATTTTGTCTCATGGAAGTCAGAACAGCCTCTAAATAATTTTGTTGAGCTCAGCATCAAAGCAGAGTTCCATCGTTTGGAAGACCCACGCTCAGTTCAGAGTTAACTCTTGGCCAGATAAATGATACGTGGGGCAGAGAGCTCTTCATCACTCGGATAGTGAGCAGGTCTGATTGCAATTCCTGTACATATGTTGGCATGTAATACTTCACACATGTGCAGAAGATCTGATTTTGAACTTTGCATGTACCACTTATCTCCTTCTGAGCAGAAAACATCTACCTGCAGGGCATCTTGAAGTCATGAAATACAACAGTCAGGCACTATACGCTTGTAGCATATGCTATCAAGTTTGTGAGTCTGGGGCCACAATCTGTGTCCTGAAATGAGACTTCTCAGAGATGTAAAACTCCTTGCAATCTCTGAGCAGTGCCCACAGGGCAGTGTGTCATGACTGATATTACTGGGATTGCAATTACTCAATTTTGTCAATAAAGAAGAACCTATGCAGTCCCGAAATTAGCAAACCGCTTGTGGCAAGCATGGTCGTAGAATTAAAGAACGAACTATCATCTAGTGAGAAACAGCAACCCCTGCACATCAATCTCAGAAGAGCCTCATGATGGGTACAATGCCATCTTAACTGGTAAGACACACAGAAGATCTCTGAAGTTGTTTATTTGGACAAACCAGCAGCAAGGGATAGAAGAAAGACAACTGCCAAGAGTCTTCAATGTTTGTTTACCCAACGCAAATCAGATTTAATTCATGGAGACAGATGTTACACTATTTTTGTCAGTCTGGAACACTACGGTTTTAAAGCTGAAAATGGTTAGTTATGATAAGCTGTTATCTTGAAAATGCAACAGGTCTTGTTTTAGACAGAAGTCAAAATATAACTTGCAGTCCTGCTATTTCCCATACTTAATGGAGTATGATTTAAAAGGGCTAATTGTATTCCCATTTCCACAAACGTTTTCCCTGAAAGCATTTATTTGCTGCCACCACAGTGAAAACTAACACGTATGGTAGGTCTTCACATAGGGAGAACTTCTGGATTAAATTAATAATAAAAGTAAATACACAGCAAATCATCAAATCAGGAAATCCAAATTTTGCACACCCGGTAACACTTGTCTCACCACACGCTCACAGTGCGGTTACTGGACGCTAAGGAACCCTGGACAGTGAGATACTGACACGATATGAAGATGATTTTCTTGAGCTCCCACTACAGTTCCAGCTGTGTGTTACCAATCCACTTTGTAAGAGGATGAGCTAGGAACACACAACTCTGAAGTAGCTAAACGAAGCTTTGGCATAGAACTTGACATTTATTTTTCCTTTGTCTGAACCTCCACTTTGGCTGTGCTCAAGCACACTGTTTCCTCACACACATTTTCCGTCGGGGGAAGTGCAGCAGCATCACATTCAGTGCTTTTGGGCTATATTGAAAGTTTTGCTTTGCATTCTGCCCCACGAACCTGAAAGAAACACGGCAGAGGCAGAGCTGGCCATACCAGGCTGGGCTGTGGGGTTAAATGGCCCAATCAGCGCTGAATTGACTCAGCTGCCTCTGCAACATCAAAGGATTCACAGCACTCCAGGAGTGTTCCCTGTTCTTTGAAACCATACAGATTCTGGGTAAGTTGTGGGAAAAAAAAATAAATAATTCTTCGGCTGAGATCGACTCTGGGAAAACTTTAGGCTCTCCAAAGTGATTATTTCCACAAATCGTGGGTGTATTGGTTGGTAGTTACAGTTGTGTCAGTCAGGGAGCTCCACTGCCTGCTATATCTCACAGTGATCCATTTTCCCTTTCAATTAGATTTATTAGCAGAGGGTTAAAAAAAAAAAAAAATCTCTTGAAAGCATCTATTCACTCTTTTTGCAATGATCCCAAGTGTTAACTTCATTCTGTCTCACAACACGATGATGCCTGTTATATTGTATGCACTTCTCAAAAATGTACCATTAATGCATGCTTGTTGAACTTACAGTTTGAAAGGAAAAATCAATCTTGACAGAAACAAAATTCACCAAGAAAATATGATAAATAAATAGAACTCCTTGCTCTAAAAAAGAAATGCATTTCATCAGCTATCCTCCTTCCTGTGGCTGGTTTTCAATCCCCACAGACTAAAAGAGCACGCATTAATATATGTATCACCTTTGTAACGTTGCCTAGAATTTGCTACATGGGATGCAGAACCACCAACCCCCATAAAAGTCCAAGGATGTGATCTTTGTGTGAGGCTCAGGAAATGGCCTCACAGCCATGCAGGCATTACCTGCTTGTTAAATGAGGACCTGAATCACAGCAGCAAGAGGAGAAGAGCAGAGGAGAGCAAGAGGGGGGAAATATCTGATTACATGCTTGCTTTCACTGTGTGAAATGCTGAAACAAATGGACATCTGATTTGTGTTTTTGCAAGACAACAATCTGTTTCTCATCCATCCAATCTCTTATTTTTCTTTTAATTTTACGTGAAAAATTTCAGCCTAAGAACAAGAATGGATGGCACAGAGTTCATCAAGTGAATCGTGTCATAACTTCAAGGTTGTAAGAAAACATTCAATTGGATGAGAGTTAAAAGAGAAACCAAACCAACATGTTCACATGTTGATTTAGGATACATATAAGAAAGGTAAAAATAATAATTGATTTTCAGCAATTATTTTTACTTCATGAGCCATGTATGTCACCCTCCTAAGCTACATCTCTGAATGGATTCCTGAATGACTGCAATAGAAAATGCAAGAAAATGAATTTTCCTGGATGTACTTGGACATTTTTCAGCAATTAAACTGCTGATGTTCTATGAACAGCACACAATTTTTGGTGTACTTTCAGAGCACAGCATGTGGGTAAATTTCCAGTCTAAAATGCCATCAGAATAATAATACTTCACAAAAGCTAAATGGAGTGTATCCTTCTGAATTATTGCAATTAGTAGAAATTGCATCTGTAGGTTAGAATCCAAAATGTGAAGTTCCAGCTTCAAAAATATATAGAATTACACTTGTGCATGCATTACACAATAAACCTAAGTGTTGTGGTAAATCCTTATTCTTAATTTCTGCTATTCAACAGAGATGAATAAATCTACAATAAATAAATAAATACGTACTGGCTAATGTGACTTACAAAAATAATAAATCGGTTTTATCAAATGCAAGCAGCAGAGGACAAAGTTGTGGACATGAAGACTGTAGATTTTATAACTTGCAGCCGAGGAGCAAGTATGATTTCATTGGAAGCTGATAAATGACACACTCCCACAAATGAAATGATCTGACCACCGGTGACACAACTCCACAACTCCTAAATGCCCTAAAAACATAAAACTGATA